ATGTTACAAAAGACTTCTATTTCAGATAAATGCTGTTCTTCTGAACTTTCTATTCATGAAAGAACCTGAAAAAAATCTACTCTGTTTATATATACTACACTGAAGACTGGAGTAATGGTGCTGAAAATCCAGCTTTGAAATCACAGGAATAAATTACATTTTAAAATATATTCAAATAGAAAGCAGTCGTTTTAAATACTAAAAATATTTCACAATATTGCTGTTTTTGCTGTATTTTGGATCAAATAAATACAGGCTTGGTGAGCAGAAGAGACTTCTTTAAAAACGTTAAAAATCTTACTGATCAAAACCTTTTGACTGGTAGTGTATTGAAACATTTTCTAAAGTGCCTAAATGTCAAAATGAGTACAATATATTTGTTGAAACATTCTAATAGCCTACTGAACACACTATTAAATTATTAGGCTGTGACTCATACTATTTTTGTGTTGCTGTCTGCTCTAGCTCCCTCCCTCCCTGTACAATAAATCCATGTGAATATCTGTCTCTGCTAAAAAAAATGTATGTAAATTTACAATCGATATTGATGTCCTTTAGCACAGTATTCTGAATGATGATAATCAGGCCCGGGTTAGGAATTCAGAGGCCCCTGGTCACAATGTCTTGTCGGGCCCCCCACATCCACACACGCACACACACATACATGCACGCGCGCGCACAATCAAGGTTTTAAATTATAGGGTACTAATTGTTGGAAATACCTCTAGCTTATACAGGATTTAGCCTACACTCACAGGTTACAGCCTATGATCGCATCCTCTATCATATAAGATTTACATCACATTATTGCAACAATGCTTTCCTGGACCAGCAGCAATCTTTGCAATATGTGTAAATAGTAATTATGCCATCTGTACTTTATATTGGCAGATACTATTTGCACCTCAGTATTTTTGTATATTAACAGAATAATAACATAGGGACTCATGAAACTCGCGTAAATATGTGAGTAAATTCAAAGTAATCTGCCCGTAAAACAGACCTTCCCGAAAACTCTCCTCCAGATTCACAAACGCTTCGTAAACATCAGATTTAATGACATAACGGAGTGTCTATTTCACTAAGTGCAAATAGCCCGCCTTGTTGGCAGAGGCTATTTACACGAACTCCGCCCACCAACGTGTGATTCGGCTGGTCAACATTACGAAAGACAGTCACCAATCGCCAGATTTAGTGGCGTAGATGGTAAAGCGTCTGTCATACTCCTGAACTACGGCGCTGAGTACAATAAATCCATGTGAATATCTGTCTATGCTAAATTTTTTATGTAAATTTACAATCGATATTGATGTCCTTTAGCACAGTATTCTGAATGATGATAATCAGGCCCGGGTTAGGAATTCAGAGGCCCCTGGTCACAATGTCTTGTCGGGCCCCCCACATCCACACACGCACACACACATACATGCACGAATTAAAATTTAAACTCAATAAGTTATTGCATACTGTTTTATAATGTACTACAATACTGAGGTGCAGATAATTGCCACTATTTGCAATAAGTAGTATAAATAGCAGAAAGATCCTGCTATTTTAACATATCGTAAATAGAATCTAAAGCTATTTGCACTTAGTGTAAATAACATATCACTAAAAAATGCTGCTATTTGCACTATTTGTGTAAATAGTATCTATCGCTAAGAAAATATGCTATTTACACTTAGTGTAAATAGCCTCTATCGCTATTGCAAACAGCCGCTGCCTGAACATAATCCCTGCCTATGAAATACACAGCTACGTAAATTACGTGTCCAGGAACACAGTGGAATATTCTGGACTCCCTTCTCTGGTTTGGCTCCAGTATATTTCATAAATGCAAAAAAAACAAAAAAAGAGCCATATGCCTAACAATAAATATTCAAATGAACGTGTCTATCAAAGCATTTTTAGCCAGGTGCTCTTCTGAAAATGGCCAGCTGGTGGCGCTTGAGAACTCTTTGGTGGCACAGCGTTTTTCCAGCTGAAGATTTGGTTGCTATGATGTGGAATATTCACGGCAGTAACATATTACTAGTATCTCATTTCGAAGAATATAACTGAATATAAAAATGCAGTAACCAGTAATATTAACTTCTCCATTGTTGCTCAGTCGTTGTACAAGTAGGATGGTTGGTCGGTGTAGCATTTGTCCCAATGATTGGATGGCTTGTGACAGTGACGAGCGCTGCGTTTTACCCAAAGTTGAACGGTAATTAACCATAGTCTCAGCTCCAAAAGAAAAAAAAACAGAGCAAATTAACTTATAAAATATTATGATGGCAGTGCATCAACACGCAGTGTCATCAGTTTGCCTAAAAGAACACAGAATGTTTTACGCACCATTATATGAGCAGGTGTACATCTCTTTCATACTAACTAACAGTTTGAAAATACGAACATTTTCTTGAGTTCGAAAGTTTATGTCAGAACGGCTTTATGAACGATTTACACAAAAATTCGTTCTGCTCTTGTTTCATGAATGAGGCCCAAATAGTGGCGGACTCGAACCCGGGTCGATCGCGTCAAAAAGTATTGCTGTGAGTCTGACGCTCTACTACTCACACCACTGAAGCCGTTGATTGCAATGCATCTTTTTTAATATTGAGTGTCAACCAGACATTGGTGGGCGGAGCTACTGTAAATAGCGTTTGCCAACAAGCGCGCTATTTGCACTTAGTGTAAAGACACTCCGAATTTTTTTTCTTCCCCTCACTTGGGCCCCAAGTGCGCATGGGCCCCTGGGCCTGTGCCCATAATGCCCATTGGATAATCCGGCCCTGATCATCTGTGATCAATTAGTTGGACCTGACCATAAAGCCTGACATTTTAAGCTCCTGCTTTTTAATATTTTATT